GAAAACCCCCCACATTTCCTCCAAAACCACTTCTTTCCATGCATTTCTCCTCCCTTCTTCTATGCTCTGCTTGAACTCCTGTAACAGTCCCTCTTCCCACGTCCCCAGGGCCCTTCCAGCCCCACTGCACCTTTAGGTCCGTCTTTGGCTAAGCCTCCCCTATGCTTTCATTGCAGCACAGGGGAAGGATGGAGAGACAGAGCACAAGAGCTAATGCAGCAGCACCTGAGCACCCTGTGCTCCCACAACACCCTTCAGCACCAGGCATGCGGGTCTGATACAGAAAAAAGTGTCTGTGGGACTGCGTTAGCCCTAGTGCATCCTCCAAACGCCAGCCCCTGCCTCTTTCTGTGATGCCTCTGCATTTCCTTTGACTGCTCTGGAAGATTTTGCAGCTCCTGGGTTCACCAAAGGTCTTACTGAGATGTGACCGTGACGTACCTGCGTGGTGGATGACCCTGTAGGAGTTGCTTTCCAGGGAGATGTTGCTGATGAGGGTGAAATGGAGCCCGTAGTGGGTGACTGTGCTCAGTGTGGCAATGGACAACCCCAGCAACTGGAAAAGAAGGTTTTTAGGAAGGGATTGACAAAGCAGCAGCTCTTGCTGAGTGCACACAAAGCTTTGAGGTGTATCTGGATACTCCTGAGCCCCACGCAGGTGCAGACAGCCTGATCATCCAAAGAACACTGCATGTACCCCAAAATGCACATAAAAGGACAAACCCCAGACACTTAAACATACTAAAGCTCTTTTTCTCTCTTGCATAACGAGCACACATGACACTGCACAGCCTGCAGTCTCTTGGCCGGTGTCTGTGGATGAAATTCCCACCACGTGAAGAAAGCCCAGAGGATCGATGCTCTTGCAGCACACCTGTGCAGTCCCACCCTGGTCTGCAAAGTACGCACGTGCAGTTATGAGGGCTGCCAGCTTCAAGAGTGGGTTTGGGCTGGGATGATGTTCTCTGCTTTACCCTTTGCAATGCTAGTCCCATTGCCTGCTGTTGGCTATATTTCCTATTGTAGAGTGCAAATAACTGAGTCTTGTACTACTTTAAGTAATCTGTGCTGGTTTCTGTCTCCACAACGTGCTGCTGGGCCGTCTGTGCTTCTGTCCCATCTCTGAGAGCACTTGTATGCCTAAGGCACGGGGTGACTACGAGCACGTTACCCTCCGTGTTGCCCAGAGCAAGTCCAGGCGATGGAGAGGGAACATTTCTGATGGCACCTGGCTCTAGGGTAGGGCTTCCTGTAGCACGACTGGTGGCAGAGCTGGGACGGAGGCACCAACAGCAGGACAGTTAAAAACCACTCCAACTCTAGTGTAATGAACATAGAAAATACAAGATGTGAAGCCACTCCTAGCTCCTAAGATAAGGTTTCATCATTTTGTGCCTTTACAATATGGAAACACAAGGCAGCTATCCCTGTGTCAAATGTGACATAATCCCCACTGTATGACATTTTCTAATAGCTTTTGCTGGAGACTTATAGTTTTGGAGACTAAATACATCCAAACCATAGCATTTTCTCCTTATAAATAACCTAATTTGTGGCACCTACTGATCCTTCATGCTGTTCATTACTGCATATCTCGACCCACGCCCAGCAAAATGCTAAGTGCAACACCGGTTAGCTCAGATTTCTGAGAAACACCAGTCTAAAATCCTCCCAACAGCAGTAACATGATTCTAGCCATCCATAGTGGCTGTGCCTTAACATCTCCTCTAAACATGTTTGGTACCAATCCTCCTTTGATTTCCTCCAGATGACATATTTTGTTATTTGGAAGAAACAACAACGTACAGCCACTACAGCCAACGGTCTTGAAATGTTGAAATTTGGGCAAACTATAAATTGCACGTGTGGCCCAAAATAAGGTATTACCTTTTAATTACACTCT